CATATCTTTCAATGGCATTAAAGCCGCGCTGAAAATACCAGCTACATCTTGTTCACCATTCACTTCCATTGCGTCTACAACTTCTTGGAATTGTGGTTGTAAGTTTATGAACACCTATCCGGATTAGCTTTATGACCCCATCTCATTGTAGTTCCATCGTCTGCAGAAACAAAAGTAGGTTTGTTTCCATATTGGCTAGGTTCTGAATGAACTTTAAACAATGTTTATTTCTATATGTTTTGGTGAAATTTAACCTTTTATTTTCACCGAGTTCAGCCAAAGATTGAACGTTATATGCTCGTAAGTAAAAAGGATTGTTGTATTTGTGTTACATTATCTTTCAGTACTTCCATTCTATGCTGGATATTTTCATCTGATGTTGGAGTCTTTTGTATGTCGGCGAACATTTTTCGATATTCTTCTACTATGTCAGCTGAATTTTTCTTAGACTCTTGGAAAGATTCCATATTCTCCGCATACACTTGTTGAGGGTCAAGATTTTTCGGCTGTTCCTAATCTTCATCTAGTTCTGTGAAGTTAGTTTCCAAAGGAGGGACTTGTTCGTTTCCTTCAGGCTCTTCTAGCTGTTGTTGCTGAACTATTTCTTCCATGTCTGGTTGTATCTGAACTTCTTCCTGTTGAGTTTCTTGTACCTCATCTGCTGGCATTTCATATATTCCGAGCGGTTTTTAAAAAGTTCCCTATCTAAGTCATCCGGACTCATAAACCTTTCTTCTTTCGTTCCGTCTCTATTTTTTACGCGTTTCATGAAGAGAGTTGAATTATCGTTTAGCTCTGACACCAAATATCTTGGAGTAAATTCAGTCATGTCATTTGGATGATATGCTATTAAATCATATTCCTTAGCGAGCTTGTATTTTCCAGGTTTGAAATTATATCCCATTTGGTGCTGAACCATAAAGCTAAATAGGTTCGGGTCAGTATTTCCTTCCTTGAACTTTCTAATAGCTTCTTTATATCTGTCACTAAAGTCAAGAGTATCTGGGTAACCATAATTTTCCTTAAGCATTTTTAAGAATTCTTGGTTTCCTTGTTCTCTACTTCTTTTATGTCTTGCTCTGTTTGTGGTTGTTGTGGTGCAGTGTTTTGAACTGTTGGTTGTTGTGCTGGATTTTGAACTGTTGGTTGTGGTGCAGTGTTTTGAACTGTTGGTGTGGGCAGTGTTTTGAAACTGTTGGTTGTTGTGTTTGGTTGTGGTGCTGGTTTTGGTGCATGCTGTGTCTGTGTCCATGTGACGATGTAATGTTTTAGGTAGTCCTGGTGCAGGTGCTTCTCTTGGAGGGTTTGGTGGTATATAAGTTCCACCAGCTGGCACATATGTTCCATCTGCAGCATAATGTCCTACCTGACTTTTCGTTCTTAAGAAAGCATTTACTAGGTCTGTTTTGGTCTGTTGTAACTCTTTTTCTTGACTTTCCACAACAGTTGCTCTAACGGCGTCATAGGCACTTTGAACTGCCTGTCTCGTTGCTGCATCTGTTATTTTCGTCATATTTTGTGCTACTTCTCTTAACTCTTTGTCGAAACCTTCAGACTTCAGTTTCTTTCCAGATGAGAAGTCGTTCACTAGTTTCACCTTACTATAAGAGCTTCGAAGGCGTTCTTAAAGTCAGCATTCATTAAAGCTTCATTTGAACTGTCTTCATTCGCTTGTATTTTTGTCCTTATTGACCCTATAAGTTGGGCTGCTTTGGCGTTGGCTTGGGCATCTAACCAGTCATTATTAGCTTTTATTATTTCTGCGCTTTTCATTGCCTTTTGCATGGCTGCGTCGTTATTTTTACTTTCTTGTGCTAAGTTTTCATACTGTACGGTTTGGTTTTGCAACTGTAAAAGTTTTTCTGCCTTTACATTTGCTTCAACTTCTTTTTTTATACTCATCGCTATCCATATATGTCTTCAGGGCTTTTTGTTTTATTTCTTCATCTTTCAGTACTTTATATTGAGTAGTATGGTTTTTTCAAATTTATAACATCTTGTCCATTTTTGCTACTTCTGCTGCTTTTTCTGACACTTTTTTCGCATATTCCTCTGTACTTAGTTCTTTCAGTTGTTTCTTTCTTCTTTTTCTCTACGTTTAACTCATTGAGTTTCTTTTGTGTTCTGTCATATTCTAGTTTCTTTTCGTTTTCACTTATTTGTTTCTGTATGTCTATGTTTGACTTTTTGACATCTGTTATTTGATTTTTGAGTGAACTCAAATTCATTTGACTTTGAGGGTTATAAGCTGTTCCGTCTGCAGCTCCACCATAGCCTGCCATTTTCGCTAAAAGTGCCGCTCTTAAACTCCACTCTGTGCACCAATAACTCGGTTTAAAAGCATAGGGTTGCTTGACATTTGTTGCAACATAGTGGGGTCATCATCATTTGTTGTTGCAACTGTTGTTGTTGGTGTCAGTTTTTACTATTGGATGTTTCAATGCTTTCTTCCTCTTACGTATATTCTTACGTAGCTTACGTGGCATTTTAAGTGAAGTTAAAAAGCGGTTTTTGACAGATGTTTATATGACACTTGACAAAACATTTACGAAGAAGTCTTGACAAATTCAAGAGGGTAGAATGAGGTTAGAAAACAGGTTAGATCTAACCTTCTACCCTAAATTATATTTTTGGGTCCTTTACACTCATTACGAAGAAGTCTTGACAAAACATTTACGAAGAAGTCTTGAAAATTCAAGAGGTGAGAAAAGAGGTGAGAAAACAGGTGAGATCTCACCTCTTCACCTAAACTTTATTTTTGGGTCATTTACACTCATTACGAAGAAAGTCTTGACAAAACATGTACGAAGAAGTCTTGAAATTCAAGAGGGTAGAAAAGAGGTTAGAAAAGAGGTTAGATCTAACCTTCTACCCTAAACATTATTTTTGGGTCATTTACACTCATTACGAAGAAGTCTTGACAAACCATGAAAACATATATAATTTGTGAAAAGCTCCTGGAAGACCCGTATATAAGAACTTCATTTATACTAAACATCTTCAGGGCTAGAAGGCACGAAGTGCCTGGAAGCCCCACTACCTTTTTTTTTTTTTTTTTTTTATTGTGGTCGCGATTTTTCAAAAAAATCGCGATTTTTATGGAAAATTTTTTTTGAAAAATATACTTTTAGAAAAAGAAATAGTGATTGAATAGCTGCCCATGCTGTAAAAGGGTTATTTTTACAAGTAAAAAAATTGTTATTTTTCGAGCAAGTCGAGGCTTTTTTACCATCTTATTTTTGAAATTTACGAAAAATTATATCTGAAAAAACGCTTCATTTTGATATCTTACAATGATAAAATACCAATGTTGCTGGGATATAATAGCTACACCTGGACATCTACTACATTAATGCGTATGACAGGTAAAGTTGATTTCAAAAGTATAGCCTGGAAAGATTACAATAAATCAACGATAATTCAAAAAAATTTCTTATAAGTTAACATAATAAAAATTTAATTTTTATATTGCTTGTATTATACTTAAGTATATAATATATTTAAATCTTAGAATGAAAATTCGGGACGCCCTAGCTATTCAATTTTCCCTTAGGACGCCCATAAACCTCTCAAAAATGTGATGTAAATATCACAATTTTGAGAAATTTACACTAGGACGCCTTAGGACGCCAACCCCCTTTTTTACCGTAATGTTTATTATTATCTAACAACTTATCTTATTTTCGCACATATAATATTAGTAGATTAGTGCAAATAGTATTTGATGGATACTAGTTGAAAATACCATTTAAAAAAAAAAATACTCATTCCTAAAATTATTTTTTATTACTAGGATATCATACAGTGTTTCATTATTTATAATCAAATTAAGTAAATTTGCAACTGACTTTTTAGTGTATTTTTTTTGAATGCTTTCAGAATTATATTTGCTACTAAACAGAATTGTTGTTAACTTTATTATACGATTTTAAAGTTTTAATGATATACTTTTCTGATAATTACAAAACGATATGAACTTTTTCTGATAATACGATTAATTTTTTTAAAAAATAGTTTTGGGATTCGGTTGTATTACTTCTCAATAACAAAGCAATTCACAAAGATTTTTTGAATCTAGAATGGCTGTTTATCCATTTTAGACTGCTCACAATATAGTTTTTCTGCATACTTGCCGAAATCAGAGATCTAAAATCAAACAATCTCGATAACAAATACCTCAATCCCACTTTACTGGTCAAAATTCTTGAAGTCTTACTTTACTGCACTAATTAATCATAATTTACCTTTAACTAAAAAAAAATATTACATAAATCTAACAAAAAAACCTTTAGCAATAAAAATACATTTGCTCAAGCCTATCGGCAACTCAAATCTAAAAAACTTTTTCTAACATTCTTATTACAATTTTTATTTTATTTTTATATTTATATTTTTTAGTTCACTTTTTAAATAATGATCTTTAGATTGAACCAATAACGCGATTTTCCATATAAATCGCGATTTTTTTGAAAAATCGCGACCACAATAAAATCGCAATTCATTAAAAAACGCGATTTTAAAAAAGTCGCGATTTTTCTAAAAAATCGCGATTTATATATTTAAATCGTGATTAAAAAAGTGGTTGCGGTTTTCCCTATTTTTATGACTGAGAGTGTGAATGTAACGAAAATGTTGATAAAAATGATATCAATGTTGCTGAAACCAGATTTCTCTTCAATCGAAATAGAAAAAGGAGAAAAGTCTCCTTATTGATCAAGTGGCATTTGAAGTTACGAATATGGATCTTTATTGTAATTATTATTTGTTTTTAAATTCTGAAAACATATTTTATTGTTTTCTTTCAAGCTCAAAAAACGATTTTGTCATTTTATTTTGCCAAGATAAGGTTTGAGTTGTTCTGTATGATTTCAATTCAGTTTCCATGAGATTTATCTACTTTGATTTTGATAGAATGATCTAATTGATTAACAAAAATTAGAGTTGAAAGTTTTAAACAAACAAGAAAATATGTTTTTATGATTAAAAAAACAAAATATAAATTACAATAAAGATCCATATTCGTAACTTGCGAAGCTACTTGATCCATAAGCAGACATTTCTTCTTCTGTTATTTCGATTGATGAGAAATCTGGTTTCTGCATCACTGAAGCTTTTTCAACCAAAATATTAGCAACTTTGATATCATTTTTATCAACATTTTCATTACTAACTCTCATCAAAGGTGTTGAATCAAGAATTTGGTAGATATTTGATCTGATGTCTGCAGCGAAAGTTGCCTGAGAAAGTGCTTTATTCAAGATAAAAGCGAATCCAGGATCCAAGAAAGGCGAATTTCCTGATTTAATCATTGTATTCAAAGCAGATCTTGCTTCTTTCGTTAATAATTGATTTGGCAACTGCATAACTAAGTTATAAGTTTCTTTAAAAGGTTCAGGAACATCAATATTTGGATAAAAAGTATCTCTTTGCACTTCAATGTCATCAATCATTTCAAGGATATTCGTTGGAAGAGTTGCACTTCTATCTCCAGATCTAACAAGTTTAAATCCGTATTTAGTAATCGTATCCATAAAATAAGAGGTAACATAAAACATTGACAAACAACTGATTATTGTTCCAAGCAAATTATATGATTTTCTGTTTGAAGCGTTGATTACATGTTCAACAATTTTCATTTCATCACTAATATGTGATGTTTCTTTTACACTTGCGAATTGACTCAATGCAATTACAGCTCCTCTTCTTTCTTTTATTGAATCATCTTTTGTTTTCTCGATGACTTTTTGGAGCTTAGAAATCAATAAATCTCTTGCTTTCGCGTTCTTACTGAGCTCAGAGAATAAATGGCAAGGAATTCTTGCGTGTTTATTCGATGCTCTTCTTATTTCAGGATATTTAGAAATGCTTTCATCAACGGTATCATTAAAAGAACAACTGATTGCTTCATCGTAAATTTCAACGTATTCTTTGTTTCCTTTTTCAATCCACCAATCTATTTCTTCTTCCAAATTCACGAAAGACAAAGAATCTTTTTGACTGAGTAACATTGAATATATTCTTCTATTTGCCTTCTTCAAAACTTGATGCATTTGTTGGTCAACACTTGCAGCCTTTAAACAATCTTCTTGGCTCTCAATGACTTCGCAAAACAAAGCAAGACATCTGTTGAGTTTCAATGAACATGGATTTGCTGCAAAAGCTTCTTTACAATGCGGCATGATTATACCATTAAAAACATTTTGACAAAAGTTTCCTGGAGAGTTTTGTTTCGCTCTTAATTCATCTAGAGCTGCTTTATGCATTTTGTCATCTTTTGTCAAACTCAAAAACTTCGCAAACACAGCAACACTCAATTCAGGATCAGGATACAAAGAGATATGACATAAAATAGTCTCAGCATTCGAAATATTTCGACATGTTGAGCCGAGTTTTTGCAAAAGTGGCAAAATTCCCCATTTTGATAAAACTGCAACTCCTCCAATGTGACACATCAAAGCGGCAATTGCTTTGAAGACAATCCACATCGGACTGGAAGGATCTATTGGTGTTTCTCCGCAGATCTCGTCAATCACTGTGGAAACGGCTTTCTTGAATGACGTGTTTTGTTCGATGATTTGGTATCCCCATTGCCACATCATCAAAAGTTGAATAAGACACAAAAGTGACTGGCTGAGTGGTCCGTTCTTTGTTGTTGAAACAGTCAAGAAAGGACCGGAAAAGAAATCGAACAACTTGGAATAGAAGTTCCTGGCGGGTGCACTGTTGGCGTCGATTTCACTATGAGGCAAAACAATGGTCAGAATAAGTTGGATGCTTGGCCAGTCCCATAAACTCGGTTCTTGGGTCAGTTGGAGCTCAGAAACATTCATTATTGGATGCTGCGGAGGTTGTGAAGACACATAAGCGGGCGGTGGCTTCAATCTTTGGTGTAGTTTCTGAACTGTGAAATTATCTTCGAGATGTACACCGATCATAGGGACTAAATCAGTGAGAAGCTTCTCAGCAGAGACATTCTGGGATTTTACGCGGTCTAATAGCTTTACAATGTTGAGAGGAATTAATCTTTCTAATATGAACAGACAAAATGGGATAATTACGCTATCTTTTGGTGCAGATAGGCATAATAAGTTCTTGAGGATCTCTACAACTGTCTCTGTTTGGTTGGAAAGGCACATTAAGATGGAGGATAATCCTTCTCTTTGTAATCCGAGGAAAATAATGCCTGGCCATGTCCTGAGTAATGAGATTAGGCCTGATGGAGATTGAACAACTGAGTTTCCTGCAATGCTTGAGAATAAACTGTATAATAAACTTGGATCTGAAATTAATCTTTGTCTCTTTTCAATTGCGTGTGCAATTAATAGCGCAACTTGTAATTTTCCTGATTCTAAAAGATAATCAAATACTATTTGGCAAACTTCTGGAATCCTTGCGATATCTGGAACATATGATAAAATATTACATAGTAAAAATGCAGAATATTCATGATATCTGTTTCTATTTAATTGAAATGTTGCAACGAGAGCCCTAACTATTGAATCCGGACATATATATCTATATTGAAAAAGTAATTGTGTATAGGATATAGCTATTATTTTTTCTTTATCAACATTGTTAGATGATTCTTGTACTGGTTTACTTAGTAAATTTGCTATTAAATAATCGAAATGGTATTTTTCGGTGATTGATTCTGGAGCAAGTTGCTCAAAAGTCATACAAAGTGTTAAGGTAACACATTTAATCGATGTTGAGTTTATTGTGAATAGTTGATGGATCTGCATTGCTACAAAATCCATCGGAATATTTTCAAATTCTTCATTTAAGAAGAGTTTTTCAATTGCCATGATTAGATTAACTGTTGTTATATCATCATAATCAGAATCAACAACACTTTTAAGTAAAAGTGCTGGTTGACAGCTGATCATTTGAAAGAAATTTTAAAAATGAATATGCATTTCTACTCAAAAGCAACAATATAGGCTTTGCTGTTACAATTTATGAATGTTTTATTATGATCTATTGAGAATACTAACATAATTTTGTGCAAATATGATTCTATAACCAATAATTTGAAATATTTAAAGCTTAAGTTCAAATAATCAACTTTCACATGGTAAAAACGGAAATAATGATATAATATTTGATCAAGAAAAAAAATCATTGGATAAAGGTACTAACATATTATTCCTATATCAAGTTTAGATATGTTATTTTGTTTCTCACTTTAAAATGCTCAAATTAGCACTCGCTTTTCCCAAAAAAGGCGTTACTTCGATACAATTGATATGTCGCAGCCCGAACCTCCGAAAGATAAGAAGGATAAGAAGCGCGCACCATTATCAATCATTACGATTCCCAAAGACAAACAAGGCCAATATGTTAAAAAGTTCTGGGGTATTGCTGAACAAGTTTTTGTAGGAACTGAAGTTACAACATTAAAGTCAACAGGCAGTAAAGAGACTCAAGTCTTATTCATTACGACTGCTGCAGTCTATGTATTCAAAAATAAGTTCTCTGGCGTTGAAGTTTCCAGAAATTTTACAGTTTATGATCTTCATAAAGTCGCATATATTGAACCAGATACTCTTATTATATCATATGGTCAAAAAGAAGTTGTATTTCGTAATGAAAAAGCTTTAAATATTGCAACAATTTTACTTATGCAACACGCATGCAATTATTATCAAGTTCCAAACGCCAGTGCACTTAAAGTCGAATCTACACCAGCTAATGCACTTGTTTATCAAAAATGTCCAGTCAGACCAGTAAAAGCTCTTCAAACTCGCTTGATTACTATTTCGCACTTCTACAAAACACCATTCCCGCAATCTCACATTGCTCAGTACGAAGAATGGGATAAATTCCACCCAGGAACTCTTTGTATTGATAATAATTTCTATTCTGGAAACGCTGCTGAAGCTATTGCTCACGCCATTGCATGGGACACAGATATTAAAACTCTTGTTTTGAAAGGATACGCAGAAGAAAAGGTTGGAAAGGTTATTGAAAAGATTTTCGCGGAATCTTTCTCAATATCGAACCTTTGCATTGAAAATTATACTAATCCAACAGAGCAGAGTATGTCCTTAGTTGCTAGAGAAGAAACACAGATCTCCGCAGTCATATTTAGCAATTGTCACCCAACAGTTGTTGTTAGGTTCTTCAGAGGCCTCACAAAATTCAATGGACGTGTCAAAGCCCTTTCTTTGACCAATTGCATGCTTGCAATTTCAGATTGGTCCGAAATTTTAATTGCAATTCAGAAATTCCCATGTTTTATGAAACTCCAAACCTTTGTTGTTGATTCTCCAAAGCTTGACCAGTTCCCTGTTCGTCTTCTTTGCCAAACAATCACTAAAAACAGATCACTTACTAATATTCAGTTCTCAAGAGCACAAGATGACCTTTCAGACCTTGTTAATACACTCTTTACAGATGCTCTTACATTCTTGCACCTGTTTATGGACCGTGGCAAGCTTATTAAGCCACTTAAAGTCCAAGTCGCTCCAAATTTAACTTATGTCAACTTTTCAAATAACCAGATTTCGCCAGAATTCTTCAAATCATTCATGCTTTCCTTGAGTGCTCGTAAAAATGCTTGTCCGATCATGTTAGAACTATCTAATTTGGTAAATACAGACTTAGAGCTTTTATTTTCAGCTCTTTCTGATGTACAAACTGCTCCAATCATTAATGACCTTACGATAGATGGAAATATCCTTACTCCTAAAGCTGTTCCTCATTTTATGAAGTTCCTTTCCACTCAGAAACCGATTTTGCAGTACCTTTCCATGGCCGGATCCCTCACTGAAGTCATCGGAGTTGTTCTCCCCGCAATCGCTCAGATGATGAGAGAAGGTGTCCTCACGGGAATTGACATCACCGCAAACAAAGAAGTGAAAAGCGGAACTGATTATTTACTTTTCCTCAATAACGTCGCATTGTTACCTACTGTGAGATCAATAATTATTAACAATGCACAGATAGGTGACCAAGGAATACAAATTCTCATAAATATGGCGAAGAATAATCCGAAATTAGAAGAAATTGGATGCGATAATATAGGAATATCTAATGTTGACAAGTTCGCTAAGTTCTATAATGATCTAGGACAAATAGAAACACTCAGATACCTCGCATTTCCAAGAAAAGAACAAAATAGATTAAATATTAATAAAGACAACTTGACGCCCACTGTCAAAGAGGCTTTGCTTGCAATCAAGAAGAAGAAAAACACACAGTCAAGCCAGGCAAGACTTCAAATGTATGAAAGAATTGAATATGATGATAACTCGAGTATGCAGGAACAAGGAGAGATAAGACGTGCAAAGTCTAATCCTTTGGATGATCTAGATGCTGTTATTTCTGATATGGTAAAGTCAATCTGTGAGGTACAATCAACTGAATTGTCACCTCAAGAAACAGCTAGACTGATCATGGATAATATAACAACATCTGCAAGGACATTTTCACAAGAACCAACAGGTTCTCATAAGAAAGTTGGTGCAATTTTCCGTTGAATTTTATGTTTGGTTAAATTTGACTACATATGAATGTTAATATTCATATATAGTATTAAATTTCTTTTTGTTAATAAATTTTGTAGTTATATAAAAATATTATTTTTTGTTGTGTTGACAATAATGTAAAAATATCATTTGAAAAATGCTTTGAAAGATAAGAAGGATAAAATTATACTATAGTTGCTAGATTTAAATGAGAATTGAAATGAAATACAATTTTAATTCAAAAATGAATATCGTAGATTGGGCTTGATTTTATCTCTAGTCGACACATTTATATATATTTATCAACATTGTCATTTTGAAGAGAATTTCACATCAAAGAAATATAAAATATATTTTCAGCAATCATAATGAATGTGTCACTATTTTAAGGCATATACTATGTCTTTCAGGCTCAATCATAGAGATATTTTATAATATGAAAAATTCTCAAAAAGATCGGAAGAGAGGTTGGAAGTATATTATAGCAATACGGATTCACTATGGCATCACAAGCAATATCTGAGGATTTGTTCTTCTCAATACGTCATATCCATCGTTCTCGATGATATAAAATCAAATTTTCCGTTTTAAAATTTTTTAGAAAATGTTTTTCTTTCTGTTTTTCCAAGCAAAATCTGCAATGGAATTTCCATTGTTAGACTTAACATGTGAAGATGGATATTACTGGAGCGTAGTCAATCTCACATGTGAAATTATTCCTGAAAATTATACACTTGTCGATACATATTACCTTCAATGGAATAGTTCGAACTGGGTAGATACAACAACAAACGAATCAGCATGCATAACAGCCGGTGGACGTGCAATTGCTGGAAAATGTGTAACAGCAGCAACAATTCAAGCCGCAAATTCAACGATTACAGGATCCACAGCAGGTTTTGATGCAGATTATGTAGCTACATTACAAGTTGCATATGTTAATGCTACAAACGACCCGTATGACTCAAGAGCACGAGAAATTCTTGCAAATTCCTGTACATTGAATCATTATGAAACGCAAGGAATTTGTCAAATCTTCTATCAATTCATTTCTGCTTCATCAGTTACTCAAAAATACGGATACAGATATTGGCCTGATTCAGGCATCTTTTTGAAGTATACTGGAGACTTAGATCAAGCAATCCGTGAAAATGTTTTCACCAGTGATTTCCAACTTGGCACTACAATTAAGATTTGGCTCGCAAGATATGGAGTTGATGGAACATTTAAAGGATTCCGTCTTGTTTATAACGAGCTTCAATATTGCCATGAAAGTATTGATATCGCACATATATGGAAGAACGTTGGATACAACTATATGAGCGATTGTCTGTTTAATCTTGACAATTTTGTTGATACTTATTCAAATGAACTCTATGATATATATGTTCAGGATGGAGAAACAGATTCTGGCATTGCAATCATCAGACCTATCCCTGTTGTTGATAGTTCTAACTCAGATAATGCAGATGCAAGAGATAATGGAGATATTACACCAGGAAGACGCTTCTTTATTCATGATAACACAACTCGTGAAGCAACATTCCAATATGCAACAGAAATCAGGTTTAGTGTTGGAATTTCCTCTTCAGATACTTCGAAAATTTTAGTTCCTTACATAAACCTCACATATTCAACATCGAATACCAATGTATTAAATTCAACAGAGAGAGATACATTTGATACAATCGTAAAACCAACTTATGGAGATGCAATTCAAGCATTTCAATTTGAAGTTCGTTATACAATTGATAATACAGAGTTTTGGCGTATTGTTACTATTATATTCTTCATTGTTCTTATTCTTGGTCTTGGTTATTTGTTAGTTTACTGCTTCTTCTACGGAAGAACTAATGGTGAAGCAGGAATGAACTCAAAGATCATCATGAAGTATCTTTCTGCATTCTTCAATATATTCGGAACAGTTTTATTCCTTATTGTTTGGGTTTTCTCATTCTATTTGTGGTGTTTCTTCAAATTACAGAAATCTACTCATACAGCACTGCTCGACCAGAAAGAATATGACAGAAGATTGATTCCTTGCATGTGGATTGCCTTTGTTTTTAAGGTATTTGCCTCGTTTTTGCAGGTTTACGTTCAATCAACTTATGATATCTTCATAATTGATTGGGAATCACCAAGAAGTGAAGCTTCTCCAATATCTACATGGAGGAGAATCATGATTGCTAACGAATGGAACAGAATTATTCCAATAAGAAGTTATAATTTCGCTTTCACATTAATTACACTTGTTTTCTTGCTCAATGGCTTTGATTGGGTCAATTTATCATCACCTATTCCAATAACAAAGTATTTGGATACAGGAGAACATTATAAGATTTTAATTATTGCTCTTACAACAGCATTGTTTGTAGCGATTATCTTTATTCAGTATATCTGGAATTACTGGATCAGATGGCGCTTCTTTGGTAATCCGTTTTACAACTTCTTGGATTTATGCAGCAATGCAAACCTTTCTGTCCTAATTATGGAATCTCCAAACCATGGACATTATCTACACGGTCGTTCTCTTCATACCCATTCTGATGATACAATGGCCAAACTCAATGAAAACCTGGAAGATGAATCTAAAGGTTTAGTTGGAACTCGTGGCCTCCTTCCAAATACTACTGAACAATGCTTTGAAGTATTGTTCAACTCAAAGTTCATGCAAAAGTACATTGCAGCTCTGAATAACATGGATGCCCACATAAGTGGTCTCAAAGTCAGAGCTAAAATGATTCAACCAACAACAGTTAAAGCCGCTGATGATATGAATACAACTCTCAAAGCTTTCTTTGATAACCAACATGAAGATAAATTCCAAGTTATTCCAATGAGCGTTATGCATCAGATCCTCAGATATACACCTGTTGCAAGTGAAACTACTTTGTTAGCCATTGAAAGCGAAGCTTCTTACTCCAATTTGCTTTTGAGCGGAATTGAATGGAAGTTGGCTACTTTCTACATTATTATGTTCACTTGCATTGAAATACACACAAGAAGTCCAGGAATCGCTGCTTTCTGTGTTTATATTGTCGATTTCATTTTAGTAACAATGTACTACAAATTGGCAAAGAACACTCTTGCCAAGAAGTCTCTTTTGGATGATAGGTTCCTTTTGTAAATATTTTATATTGATGTATACTACTTTATCCTAAAAATGTCTTGTTTGATTTTAATTCATTTTTAATTAATCGATGTAATCTATTTCCACAATTCCATTCCAATAAGGAGTTAGAATTATCTGTATGCTAATGTCAATGATTGCTTTTCAATTCCGAGAAATTTGTAAACGAATTATTTTCTCATCATATTTCATTAATTTGCGTTGCACTGATTATTGATTTGAAATGTTACAAAATAATGAATAAGAAATTTGGTCTTGAAGGAATCGAAAAAGTGACTACGCTGAGATGTCGAATTCTGGATATGTTGGGATTATTCAGACAGCAGCGGATGAACTAGACATAACCTTCAGCAAAGGTTCAATGCAAGCATTAATCGAAGAATCAGAAAATTTTATTAACAAATTCGTTCAGGATTTGTCTTTTGTTTTAATAAACTCCCATGCACAGAAATTAACACCAAATCATTTCAATAAAGTATTAAAATCACGTGGAGAACAACCTCTTTTAGGCTATTCTTCAAATGTTCGCGTAAAAGACTATCAAACTCAGCCAGGCGAATTTTCATATCAAAAATACTCTACAGTTCCATTATCTCAATATATTACGACATCTCGTCCATTTGTAAATAATACAATTCCAACAGGAATCAAATACGTTTTAGTTGATGGAATTAAGGTGCCAACTTTCATGAAAAAGTCATCAACAAAGACAAAATCAGATAAACCAAGATCTGATGAGCCCGAAATTGTTAGCGGAGTTCTCAGTAAGAAACAAATCGATTATATGGTCGAATCTATCTTTTACTTGCGAACAGATGACAACCACTCACTTGAAGTTGGTTTGAAACAGATATTAGAGGATGATGAACTGATTAACGTATTAACTCCTTATCTTTTGCATTTTATTACAGGCAAAATGGCCGTTCAGTATCATAATGTCGAAAAGATTGTTATGCTTATGAAAATGGCTACGGCTATCGCCTCAAATAATAATGTTGATCTAATATCTTATTTCCATCCATTTCTCCGCATTTGTATGTCAGGATTGATAGGAACAGATGTTGGATCCAACGAAACCGATGATGATTCGAATGTCAGACGTTGCGCAAGCCAGCTTTTGAATGTTTTACATTCGAAATGCAAAAATGCTTATCCGGCAATGACCAAAGCTATATATAATAGCCTGATCTCAGTATTATTTAACGAAACAACATCGATTGCAGCTCACATTGGTGCTGTTTACGGCTTAGAAGTTCTTGGAATCGAATCATGCGAGAGAGTTATACCTCATTTGGCCGGATACTTAGCTGCATTGCAGTCTATATCTAGTACAGTCTCATTTGAGAAGTCAGTTCAAGGTATTACTGTTGTGGAGGCAATAAGAGAATTATGTGAGAGCACAAGAAACAAAACGAAAGACCAAAGCATCTTAAAATGGATAGATGAGATTATGGAGACATCAGATTCTATTAATTTTAAATAGATTATAAAATGTGTTATTTTTTTTAATAAAATTTAAATAATTTTTTTTGTGTTTATAATTATTCCAAGATGATAGTTAACTAAATAGCATTTTCTGTTCAATGCAATACTATAATATAATATTGGAGATGGCAATATCATTATTTCAAAATTATTTAAAATTATCGACTCTGGAAATTTCTTGGATTTTAGTAGCATTGACGTTTACACACCTATAATGATTTTTTCAACCTTCTTTTTGGTTAACTATATTAATAATGACATAGACTTTTTTTTTATTGATGCACGTTACGGTGAGTTTGACATTCTATTATCCCCTCAAAGTCGTAAAACGTGACATAAAAAATAATATCCGACATTTCAATTTTTGAGGACTACATTTTTTGTATCAATATGTAATATCATAATACAACTCCAGATTTTTCTGAGACCAGACTCAGAAAAAAATTGAATGGATTTTTATAGTCGCCTATACAATATTGAAATTCAAATGTATTCTATGCAATATTATTACATTATTTTTCAAAAAATTCTGTGGAAAAAAATAAATCATTGAAAGAACATTTTGATTGATTAACTTCACTCATATGGAACGCAAATCAGCCCAGAGGCTTGGAATGAAGCAGAAAAAATTAACCAAGAAACAGAAAGAAGGAATTATCGATATGAAGCGTCAAGGATATTCAACCAAGTTTGTTGCAGCCTTTTTTGATTGCAGTACACGTCGTGTGATGGATATTTTTCGCCACTCAAATAGAATAAGACCTGATGAATCAGATGCTGATCTTATTTTCGGATTATTAAAGCAGGGATTCAGTATACGTGACATAAAGAGCCGATTTCGAAATTATATTGATTACGAGATTAGACATGTCATAGAACGTCAAGTCAAGAGATTGTTGGCTGCCGGTTATGAAGTTGGTAAAGGAGAAATCTTTGATATTGAACCTGAAATCAAAATTGAGACCTCAGAGAATGAAGACAAGTATTTAAATCTCGATTTTTCTGCTGATTCATTGGAATACCAGGAAAATATTCCTAATTCTTCAATTACAATTTTTGATGGCGAAAATACAGAATTTGAGCCGTATCTTTATTGATGATTTTTGTTCTTTATTTAAACAACTTGTTTTTGTTATTCTAAATATTAGAGTGATTTATCCATGAATATTTTATTTTTTAAAAAAGAATATATATGTATATTGCAATGTTAAGAGTTAAATTTGAAGAATTATATTTAGAAGCCATTTGTTTCAAATCAATAAAATTCAAAATTTTGTTAATTAAATATATTTAAATTCAGCAAATAAGAATAATAGAAAACAATCACTCAAATTTTCAAAGATGAACATTTTAATCTATAATTTTTAACACACATTATTGTGATTTAATTTGATCAGTCATAAGTTTTAGCCTTACACGGCAACCAGATTAACTGTCCAAAAGATATATTAAATTTTTAATTTCCTTGGAAGTCTTATTAAATTTTTTAAATATTTTTTTGGAAGTCTTTTTGTGTAAAAAGAGGAAGGAAATATTAATGAAAGGCCATAAAATTAATAACCCAATTGTTTTAATAAGCAAAGTCGATTTCGCTTCCACCAATAATAAAGTCGACTTTTTTCGACTTTATCATTTTGTCACTTTTCTGGACATTTTAAATTCAAAAGGAATTACATCTATTTTTATAATTTCAATTTCAATACTTCATTTTAATATAAAATCAATCTAACACATGAATTAGCCTTAAAGTCTATCGTTAGTAAGTCGACTTGCAACAAAAAACTTTAAAAAACATCATACAGTAAGTATTTATGACCCAATGCACTTTTGTAGAATAATCTATGTCAAATTTATTATTTTTAAATGATTTCACATTCGTTTTTAAGACTCTTTCATCTAAATTATTAAAAAATAGTTTAAGCACTTATCATTGCAAAAATAAGTTACATGGCATTTTTGTAATATAAGAATTCGAAAAAAATATTTCATTACACAAAAATTTAAGTACAGTAAGAAATTGATGCTCTTCATAATCAAATAATTACACAATTGAAATAGCTGTATTATTTATGTAAGTTTGCTAAGCAGATGTTCCCATCAATAATTATTGAGATTCATAAAATTAAGATTTTTGAATGTGCTATCATTATTTTATAATTGTAAAGAAATTTCCGAATATTCTAATAAAATCTAAAATCTTGAAAAATCAAAATCTGAAACATTTTAAATCATAACAAATGAAATATCATAAAGAAATCATTTTCATTAAAACTCTAAATAATAGAATGCTAAGTCAAATCAAAAACTCTTAATAATGAAAACAAAAAATTGAATATCGAAGTGAAAACAATCTTAATTTTGATCACTCAGAATAGAGAATAAAACATTATAAATTAGAGACATGCGTTGTAAAGTAAATAAAACTTTAGACAATATAATAAAAATAATATGAAATATCAATGGAAATCAATTAATGGTCTGCCATCCAATTAAAGAAAAAGCAATAATTATTCAGGAAATAATAAAGAACTTTAAATATAAATTTCTTATCTAGGATATGTGAAATTTTAACATTTAAAAATTACTGAATATCATGAAATAAAAAAGCGTATTCGTTTGTCAAAGTAGGTGAACATTAAGGCAATTCCTAAAGAGTTTTTGAATATTTTCTTATTTCTAATGGAGTCGATTTAAATATCTGAAGTTTAACTGACAGCTGAAATAAGGCATCTGAAAGCAAAGTTAGTTATTCTAGTATTAGCATGCATGAACTACATATTGTTAATTTAAAAAATAGATGATTCTTGGATAATCAAAATTGTTGCTTAATGCTGATACATATAACATCATCTTTGTAGTATTTATTGCATATGAGAAAGATGTAAATAAATTCTTTGAAGAAATAAAATTTGAAGCTGATATCGAAAATTAATGGACCGATTTGAATGGAATCTTCTTATTATTATTAATGATCATCGACCTTCTCGTCCTTACCATCTGTTTCGACTGGCCTTGCAAGATTTTCAAGAGAGTCAGGATCTGCATGCAGCTTTTAAAATGATTCAATTATCTTCATCTCATGATTGTAACATTTTGAAGAGGAACAACAGAAACTTTATGGGATTTATGATGCAAACCATAAAACTTCTTAATGTATTAGGCATTCTTGTGATGTGCAGGTTTATAGAATTGCATTTTCAATCATGCTTTTGGAAAAATAAATATTCACTCAATTTCCGACTTTTTCTTCATTTAAAATTCAAACAAAAAAAATGATAAATAAATATTAATTAAATATGGATTTAAAATGTAATAGTATCTAAATATTCACTAATTCAAATAGTCGCAAATAAATTTATGACTATTCAAATTCGATTCTATTCAAAAATTCAATGATTACTCGACTCTATCTTTAAATTTCCAATTTTAATGATGACTTGGAAAATTCAATAGTTGCAATCAAATTCTCAGACTTAACTCAAGCATTGAATAAGGCATATTCATCATATATGGAAATATTTCCATATAAATGTATCTCTTAAGGATAGTTCTTATATTTTGATTACTTGATTGATATTTCATTGTTAATAATCTATTTATATCTACATTGCATTATTCTTCATGATTTGATATGTATATGTTTCTGATGAAATTCATAATTATCTTAGCTTCAGTGGAGTTATTTCTTTGAGATTGAGGTTTTTTATTCAATATCATTATTGCATCATTAATTAAAGAGTTAGTTTATGTGTTTGCAAAAATTGACTAAAAAAACTTTAGATAATATACAATTCATGTAATCAAATAAACATATCAATTAGTACAGCAAATATAAATACCCATCAATTCAAATTTTTTTGGGCCCCATTTTTTAATGAAATATTAATCCCCAAAAGAATTTGAAGTGATTGGTATTCCAATATACTTCAAACATTTTTCTGAGCTTTGCTCAGAAAAATGTTTGAAGTATATTTCTAATCTCTTGTACTAAATTGAGTGTATTGCAGAATTATCCTGTCACAAATTTAGTTTAGATCTCAACATAGAACAAGATATTTAAATTAAGAAATAAATTGCAAACTTTGACCGACAAGAGTGTATTGTGCAAATTTTGTCATATTTACAATTTCTTTTTAATGAAATGAATTAAATTGAGGAAAAATTACTGCTCAGCAATACAATTTAGCTATTTAGCATGCAAATTATATTGCTTATTTTTAATTTTTCATGAACGGTTTAAGACAAAATTTTGGGATCCGCTGACAAGGAGCATATGAAAATTTTGTTTTGAAATAAGAATATATAATATTGGATTATACGCTCAAAGAGTTGTTACTTCTATGTAATTGAAGTTTTCAATTCAATAGAAAATTGAAAGGAAAGGGAAAATTATCATTTTTTAGAATGTCCAAAGTTTCTTGTGGCAGATCATATTTTAATGATCTGATGCCGCAATATGCTGGATACTGTGAGGTTATGAAAATCATATATCGCCTCAAGGCAGAAAGAATCGAAGATATTAATAATATTCATAAAATGATTGAAGAAAGATTGATATCAACAAAATTTTTCACACCGGATAGCATTTTATCTCTTTTAATCGATGCACTAACGTACAATAATGGTAATTTATGGGCATATTATATGCTTTACAAAAAGATTTTGGAATATTATAATGATGAGAGTTTCAGCAATTCTAACATCTCATTTTTTGAAAATCTGGCTTCTGAGCACGAATCATTATGCATACATAAAGAAAATACAATATACAAAGCTATTATGGATGATAACAAAGAATTATTCATAGCAATTTCACAAAATCAAAATTTCAATGTTTTTCAGGTGCTAAATAATAGTAACTATCCTCACTGTGATCAATCTGGTTATTCATTGCTTGAATTATGTTGCTATCATGGAGCAGTGGGTTGTTTTAAATACCTGCTTACAGAATATGGCTTGAATATTACTCAGACTTGTCTTCAGTTTTCGTTTTTGAGTGGTAAACCAGACATCATGAGTAAATGTTTACAAACTATTAATCCAGACAATGAATGCATGCGATATGCAATCATTTCGCACAACATCGATTTTGTAACATTCCTGATGGATGAATATAAATTAGAAATTGATATATATTGTTGTTGCAGAAACTGCAATCTCCAAGTATTTTTTGCATACTTGGACCAATCTCAAGATATTAACAATACTTTTATATACTCATCATGCTTTAATATCCCTCAACTCTGTGAATATTTCATTTCGCAAGGTGCAAATCTCAAAGCAACGACTGAAAATTATAGCACAGCTCTTCATTATGCTGCATACTTTAATTGTTTAAGTTCTCTAAAATACCTCATTTCAATTGGAGCTAATGTTAATGCAAAAACATATTATTTAAAGACACCTCTCCATCTAGCAGCAAAATTTAATAACTTAGAAATTATAAAATTTCTCCTTTCACATAGGGCACGAGTTAATTCCAAGGATTCAAATCGATATACTGCTCTTCATTATGCAGTGGAATGCAATCATAAAGAAGTAGTGGAATATTTATTAGATAATGGAGCAAAAATCAATACAAAAACTTTGACCAAAACTGTTTTCCATATTGCAGTTTATAAGGATTTAAATGATATTGTTGATATTCTTATTTCACATGGTGCAAATTTAAATATAAAAGATATTAATGGTAAATCTATGATTCATTATGCTATTAAAACTGATAATTATGAATTATTCAATAAATTTGTTGCTCATGGTGCTTCTCATGAAATCAAAGACAATAAAAAAAGAACTTCACTCCAACATGCAGTCGAGAAAAATAATATGAATTTTATCAATATCCTATTGGAGAATAATGCAAATATCAATGCAAAATATATTGATGAAAGGAGCATTCTTCAATATTCAATTGAGAATAATCAAGACGAATTAGCAAAAGTGCTAATTCTAAGTGGAGCAAAGATAAACACAAAAAGTAATATTGGGAGAACTCCGCTTCATTCTGCAATGCTTGCGAATAAAGATGAAATTGTTGGCTTGCTTTTATCACATGGAGCAAATCTAAATGCAAAAGACAAATCAAATCAGACTCCCCTTCTTATTGCAGTTGAAAAACAACATTTATCCTATATAAGCCAACTTGTCTCAAATGGTGCAAAGCTTAATACAAAAATCTTGTATGATGGGGATACTGTCCTTCATACTATTGCACAATATAATTACATTGAAGCTGCTGAAATTCTAATTCCTCACGGTGCAAGTGTTAATGCTCGAAATAAAATCGGACGTACTCCATTACATGTTGCCACATTGTATAATCACAAATCAATGATGAAACTTCTTTTATCAAATGGGGCAGACATTAATGCAATTGATAAGTATCATCAAACTGCCCTTCATTTAATCGCTGATTGCGAAAATTATGATTTAGTAGACTTCCTAATTTCATCAGGCATTAATATAAACTTAAAAGATAAAGATGGAAATACAGCTTTTCATTATGCTGTAAGAACTACAGAAACAACAACAGCAGAATATCTTTTAAGATCTGGGATAGATATTAACACCAAAGGTGGAAATGAAATGATAGCGCTTCATTTTGCTGTCCTTCATTTTGCTGAAACTCCATTGAATTTAGAGATGATAGAATTTCTTATTAATAATGGAGCTGATATTAATGCACGAGATGAAGATGGTAAAACTGTGCTTCACTATACGGTTGAACAAAATATAATATCTTTAGAAGAATATTTTCTTTCACATGGAGCAGACGTAAATGCGAAAGATAACTATGGAAAAACACCTCTTCATTATATAAACAAAAGAAATAACATTACAATTTTCAATCTTCTGATTTCTTATGATGCGGACGTCAACGCAAGGAATGAAAATGGAAACACACCTCTTTATTTTGCGATATGTCAAAATAGAGATGACATTTCTGAACTTCTTGTATCAAATAATGTCGATATCAATGCAACAAATAATTAGGGACAATCAGCACTTCACTATACTTATTATTTCAATCGTCAATATTTAATACAATATCTTTTATCACATGGCGCTGAAAATCTGATAGACAAAAACAAAAAGGAGCCTTTAGATTATCTAGGTGAATACAATTCGAAATTGTATACATGCGGTTGTTGTTTGAGAAAAATTCATTTGATATTATAATTATCTATTACTTCAGTATTTTCAAATTAAAAATTTATAAATTTTTCAAATATATTTAACATTCCATCCAGATGCCAACCTTTTCATGAATTCAAAAAGTGTTAAAATTTCAGAAGTGCTCATAATAAGACTTTGGGCATTAAAAATCTAATTGAGTTTTTCATTTAAAAAAGTAATACAATAACAGTTGTGACATACGATTATTTTCTTTTTCAAAATTGAATATTTTTCAATCACCATTATAATAGCCATATTCAGTTTTACATAATACTTGATAATATCCTTTTACCGCAGGCCATCGAGGCGTGAAGCTTCCATAATACTGTTTTTAGAATTTGAAGTTATATACTGAAAGAACGTTGGAGGAATATATATATAAATATATATATCCAACCATTCAAATTTTTTTGGGTCACTTTTTTTTATAAAATCATAATCCCAAAACAATTTGAAGGGTGTGATATAGCGAATATACCTCAAATTTTTCTGAGACAAGGCTCAGAAAAATTTGAGGTATATTGTTTATATATATATACATGTTTAAATGAGACAATTGTAAAAAGTCTATTAGCATATAAAATAATGCTTATATTTAGTAAAATTAATATACATTTCATGGCTAGATTTCGAGAAAAATTGAAATCATGATTTATTGAGTTGCAATAATATATCATTGTGAATTCTGAAGTTTACACTTTTTTTTACAAGTTATCAAAAATATTTCGCAATATCTTGCATAACATATTGTTTGGTACTATTTTTAATTGAATGAAACCTAGCAATCATGCAATTTATTGTGTTGGTGATTTAAGGCTTCACTAGCATGACTTGATATATTCTATTAGCTAATATTTAATTTTTATTGACCCACCCAAAAAAGTCTTCTTCCACTAACATGAGTTATAACGTGCTTTTTCTGAAAATGATAAACTAGAATTAATATATATTGTAGAACATATATTTCATCTTTTTAAAAATTTTGAATATTTTTTGTCATGTTAGTGAAGCATAAAAATTTTTGAGACCTAATTTCTGAATTAATTCAATACACATTCAAAGTGTTTGAAATATGTTTCTTAATGATTACAAGTATAGTCTGTAAATAAGAGTCTTTATTATTTTAAATAATAAACAAGCATGCCATGAAGCTTTTTGTCAGAGTGAAATAAAAAATTTTAATGATATGTAGCGTGGATGTAAATAGTTGCAACAATTCTTTAGGCAAAAAAATCAAATTTGATATAATATAATTTCGGGCCTCAGTTGGCCAGGTTTGCCCTTCGGGCAAGCCCAGCCAACTTTGCCAAAATAAATATATTATGATTATAGGAAATGAGTTTATACAATTAAATTTGAATTTGTGTGATTAATATTATATTTCAAAGATTATTATGTAAAACATATGAGAGATTTTTATATCCATCGAAGTGGTTTAGAGAATACTTTGAGATTTTAGAGAATTTTCGAAAGAAATATTGAAAGCAAAGCATTTATTAAGAATTTGTTGTGAAATGAATACACTTCGATAAGATATTAGATCAGTTTGTGACATGGCAAAATTAGAGCCGAAGTCATGTTCATAAATGAAGAAAATGTCTTAGCTATAGCAAACGGTTGTAATGTATTTGAAATATTAATAGTCTTATTGTAATCTGATATCTATGCGATCATAGATATTTTTTGAGAAAGTATTTCGGAAATTATGTAATTTGTAAGGATATTGAGGTACTAAAGTTAAAAATTAATTAGGCATGTGATGATAGAACTTGTTATAGAGGAAAATCTAGAATTTTAGAATTTTCAAAATTCATCTGTAACCAAATGAGCATATTGTGAATCATTTAAGGTATGATGGGGTTTTCTGCGTGATGGATGTGTGCATGATGGATATGTGCATGATGGATATGTGCATGATGGATGAGTGCATGATGGATGGGTGGGTGGGTGCGTGATGCGAGTATGGTACGTGGGTGGTTTCACAGAATTTTTATGCATTTTCAATTTAAAACAATCTTTATTTGATAATACGAATAAAACTACAATAGTTTTCATCTAATCTATTAATTATCTCTCTTAAATCATCGATAAAATTAAATCTAAATTTTTTTCATTGATTCCCAATAAAATCAGTTTAGCCTAAGGGAGTTTGCTTTCGCATTTCTATGTTGATTACTTTCATTTAAATTATTCATTAAATTACAAAAATATTCCTTGATATATTTTGCCAATTCTTAATTAAATGTTAAGTACTTTCTATATATCAAGTTTGAGCACAAGCTGAGTTAAATTTAGGAATATGACTGATATTGAGATATATATTTTGCCAATTTGAAGTTTACAATTTGTAGAGTGTCTCCAAACTGAAGTTTAGAGTTGGAGAAGATTTTTCTCCATACGAGATCCTTAATCAAATAGCTCAGATTAATAATATGATATTATTTTAAATATGATGAAAATTTTTGAGTGAAAACTATCAAAACCAAGTCTTAAAAAATAGATATTTAAAAATGTTTTTTGATTGTTACACTACTTGTGAAAAAATGCCTATATATATCATCTATCGGCGCGCTCAGCGCGCCGATAGATGAATGAAAAATTAAGGTGATCTGCTCTTGAACCTTTGCCAATATGAAATTTTTCATGACAGCCTTGTTTAATTTCACCAAGCATCATCTACATGCTTTACATATAACATTACATATAATTTTTGAAATCAATAACTTCTGTTATGAAATTAGTTCAAAATATTATTTGAAAAATTAAAAATCATTCAACTCGACATAGAAAGCGATCTAGAGCCCCAAAGTTTTACCACGATAGTAATCATATATTTCAAGTATTTTGATGGAATGAAAGGGCATCCTTAAGCAAATGTGTAAAATGGAGAAATCTCCAAGCTGAATAAATCATGCTAAGACCGAAATTTGACGAGAGCATAATAATAATAATAAAATCAAAAAAGTTTGATGACAATATATTGTTCACTATTTCTTTACTATTATAACGTAATGCAATATGAAGCGTGGTTTTTCATCATTTTCTTATTCATTGATATTTATACCATGTGAAATAAGAAGTTCGGCTATTTCTTTACTATTTTCACTTACTGCAATATGAAGAGTGGTTTTTCCATCATTATCTTTTTCATTGATATTTATACCATTTGAAATAAGAAGTTCGACTATTTCTTCATAATTCTTATCTGCTGCATAATGAAGAGCTGTTTTTCCATCATTATCTTTTTCATTGATATTTATACCATTTGAAATAAGAAGTTTAGCTGTTTTATTACTATTATAACGTGCTGCATGATGAAGAGTGGTTTTTCCATCATTATCTTTTTCATTGATATTTACACAATTTGAAATAAGAAGCTTAGCTGTTTTTATACATAAAATACTTGTTGCAAGATGAAGAGCGGTTTTTCCATCATTATCTTTTTCATTGATATTTATTCCATTTGAAATAAGAAGTTTAGCTGTTTCCTCATAATTCTCATTTGCTGCATAATGAAGAGCGGTTTTTCCATCATTATCTTTTTCATTGATATTTATACCATTTGAAATAAGAAGTTCGACTATTTCTTCATAATTCTTATTTGCTGCATAATGAAGAGCGGTTTTCCCATCATTATCTTTTTCATTGATATTTATACCATGTGAAATAAGAAGTTCAGCTGCTTCTTTACTTTCATATAATGCTGCAAAATGAAGAGCGGTATTTCCATTATAATCTTTTTCATTGATATTTGCACCATGTGAAATAAGAAGTTCGGCTGTTTCTTTACTATTTTCACTTACTGCAATATGAAGAGCGGTTCTTCCATCACTATCTTTTTCATTGATATTTATACCATGTGAAATAAGAACTTCAGCTATTCCTTTACTATTATATATTGCTGCAAAATGAAGAGCGGTTTTTCCATCATAATCTTTTTCATTGATATTTGCACCATGTGAAATAAGAAGTTCGGCTGTTTCTTTGCTATTATTTTCTGCTGAATTATGAAGAGCGGTTTGTCCAAAATTATCTTTTTCATTGATATTTATATCATGTGAAATAAGAAATTCAGCTATTTCTTTACTATTATTTCCTGTTGCAATATGAAGAGCGGTTTTTCCAACTTCATCTTTTTCATTGATATTTATACCATGTGAAATAAGAAGTTCAGCCATTTCTTTACTATTATTTCCTGTTGCAATATGAAGAGCGGTTTCTCCATATTTACCTTTTTCATTGATATTTATACCATGTGAAATAAGAAGTTCAGCTGCTTCTTTACTTTCATATAATGCTGCAAAATGAAGAGCGGTATTTCCATTATAATCTTTTTCATTGATATTTGCACCATGTGAAATAAGAAGTTCGGCTGTTTCTTTACTATTTTCACTTACTGCAATATGAAGAGTGGTTCTTCCATCACTATCTTTTTCATTGATATTTATACCATGTGAAATAAGAACTTCAGCTATTCCTTTACTATTATATATTGCTGCAAAATGAAGAGCGGTTTTTCCATCATAATCTTTTTCATTGATATTTGCACCATGTGAAATAAGAAGTTCGGCTGTTTCTTTACTATTTTCACTTACTGCAATATGAAGAGTGGTTCTTCCATCACTATCTTTTTCATTGATATTTATACCATGTGAAATAAGAACTTCAGCTATTCCTTTACTATTATATATTGCTGCAAAATGAAGAGCGGTTTTTCCATCATAATCTTTTTCATTGATATTTGCACCATGTGAAATAAGAAGTTCGGCTGTTTCTTTACTATTTTCACTTACTGCAATATGAAGAGCGGTTCTTCCATCACTATCTTTTTCATTGATATTTATACCATGTGAAATAAGAACTTCAGCTATTCCTTTACTATTATATATTGCTGCAAAATGAAGAGCGGTTTTTCCATCATAATCTTTTTTATTGATATTTATACCATGTGAAATAAGAAGTTCGGCTGTTTCTTTGCTATTATTTTCTGCTGAATTATGAAGAGAGGTTTGTCCATCTTCATCTCTTTTATTGATATTTATACCATGTGAAATAAGAAGTTCGGCTATTTCTTTACTATTTTCACTTACTGCAATATGAAGAGTGGTTTTTCCATCACTATCTTTTTCATTGATATTTATACCATGTGAAATAAGAACTTCAGCTATTCCTTTACTATTATATATTGCTGCAAAATGAAGAGCGGTTTTTCCATCATAATCTTTTTCATTGATATTTGCACCATGTGAAATAAGAAGTTCGGCTGTTTCTTTACTATTTTCACTTACTGCAATATGAAGAGCGGTTCTTCCATCACTATCTTTTTCATTGATATTTGCACCATGTGAAATAAGAAGTTCGGCTGTTTCTTTACTATTTTCACTTACTGCAATATGAAGAGTGGTTTTTCCATCACTATCTTTTTCATTGATATTTATACCATGTGAAATAAGAACTTCAGCTATTCCTTTACTATTATATATTGCTGCAAAATGAAGAGCGGTTTTTCCATCATAATCTTTTTTATTGATATTTATACCATGTGAAATAAGAAGTTCGGCTGTTTCTTTGCTATTATTTTCTGCTGAATTATGAAGAGAGGTTTGTCCATCTTCATCTCTTTTATTGATATTTATACCATGTGAAATAAGAAGTTCGGCTATTTCTTTACTATTTTCACTTACTGCAATATGAAGAGTGGTTTTTCCATCACTATCTTTTTCATTGATATTTATACCATGTGAAATAAGAAGTTCAGCTGCTTCTTTACTTTCATATAATGCTGCAAAATGAAGAGCGGTATTTCCATTATAATCTTTTTCATTGATATTTGCACCATGTGAAATAAGAAGTTCGGCTGTTTCTTTACTATTTTCACTTACTGCAATATGAAGAGCGGTTCTTCCATCACTATCTTTTTCATTGATATTTATACCATGTGAAATAAGAACTTCAGCTATTCCTTTACTATTATATATTGCTGCAAAATGAAGAGCGGTTTTTCCATCATAATCTTTTTCATTGATATTTGCACCATGTGAAATAAGAAGTTCGGCTGTTTCTTTGCTATTATTTTCTGCTGAATTATGAAGAGCGGTTTGTCCAAAATTATCTTTTTCATTGATATTTATATCATGTGAAATAAGAAATTCAGCTATTTCTTTACTATTATTTCCTGTTGCAATATGAAGAGCGGTTTTTCCATCTTCATCTCTTTTATTGATATTTATACCATGTGAAATAAGAAGTTCGGCTATTTCTTTACTATTTTCACTTACTGCAATATGAAGAGTGGTTTTTCCATCACTATCTTTTTCATTGATATTTATACCATGTGAAATAAGAAGTTCAGCTGCTTCTTTACTTTCATATAATGCTGCAAAATGAAGAGCGGTATTTCCATTATAATCTTTTTCATTGATATTTGCACCATGTGAAATAAGAAGTTCGGCTGTTTCTTTACTATTTTCACTTACTGCAATATGAAGAGCGGTTCTTCCATCACTATCTTTTTCATTGATATTTATACCATGTGAAATAAGAACTTCAGCTATTCCTTTACTATTATATATTGCTGCAAAATGAAGAGCGGTTTTTCCATCATAATCTTTTTTATTGATATTTATACCATGTGAAATAAGAAGTTCGGCTGTTTCTTTGCTATTATTTTCTGCTGAATTATGAAGAGAGGTTTGTCCATCTTCATCTCTTTTATTGATATTTATACCATGTGAAATAAGAAGTTCGGCTATTTCTTTACTATTTTCACTTACTGCAATATGAAGAGCGGTTTTCCCATCATTATCTTTTTCATTGATATTTATACCATGTGAAATAAGAAGTTCAGCTGCTTCTTTACTTTCATATAATGCTGCAAAATGAAGAGCGGTATTTCCATTATAATCTTTTTTATTGATATTTGCACCATGTGAAATAAGAAGTTCGGCTGTTTCTTTACTATTTTCACTTACTGCAATATGAAGAGCGGTTCTTCCATCACTATCTTTTTCATTGATATTTGCACCATGTGAAATAAGAAGTTCGGCTATTCCTTTACTATTATATATTGCTGCAAAATGAAGAGCGGTTTTTCCATCATAATCTTTTTTATTGATATTTATACCATGTGAAATAAGAAGTTCGGCTGTTTCTTTGCTATTATTTTCTGCTGAATTATGAAGAGAGGTTTGTCCATCTTCATCTCTTTTATTGATATTTATACCATGTGAAATAAGAAGTTCGGCTATTTCTTTACTATTTTCACTTACTGCAATATGAAGAGTGGTTTTTCCATCACTATCTTTTTCATTGATATTTATACCATGTGAAATAAGAACTTCAGCTATTCCTTTACTATTATATATTGCTGCAAAATGAAGAGCGGTTTTTCCATCATAATCTTTTTCATTGATATTTAGCACCATGTGAAATAAGAAGTTCGGCTGTTTCTTTACTATTTTCACTTACTGCAATATGAAGAGCGGTTCTTCCATCACTATCTTTTTCATTGATATTTGCACCATGTGAAATAAGAAGTTCGCTGTTTCTTTACTATTTTCACTTACTGCAATATGAAGAGTGGTTTTTCCATCACTATCTTTTTCATTGATATTTATACCATGTGAAATAAGAACTTCAGCTATTCCTTTACTATTATATATTGCTGCAAAATGAAGAGCGGTTTTTCCATCATAATCTTTTTTATTGATATTTATACCATGTGAAATAAGAAGTTCGGCTGTTTCTTTGCTATTTTTTCTGCTGAATTATGAAGAGAGGTTTGTCCATCTTCATCTCTTTTATTGATATTTATACCATGTGAAATAAGAAGTTCGGCTATTTTTTATATTTTCACTTACTGCAATATGAAGAGTGGTTTTTCCATCACTATCTTTTTCATTGATATTTATACCATGTGAAATAAGAAGTTCAGCTGCTTCTTTACTTTCATATAATGCTGAAAATGAAGAGCGGTATTTCCATTATAATCTTTTTCATTGATATTTGCACCATGTGAAATAAGAAGTTCGGCTGTTTCTTTACTATTTTCACTTACTGCAATATGAAGAGCGGTTCTTCCATCACTATCTTTTTCATTGATATTTATACCATGTGAAATAAGAACTTCAGCTATTCCTTTACTATATATATTGCTGCAAAATGAAGAGCGGTTTTTCCATCATAATCTTTTTCATTGATATTTGCACCATGTGAAATAAGAAGTTCGGCTGTTTCTTTGCTATTATTTTCTGCTGAATTATGAAGAGCGGTTTGTCCAAAATTATCTTTTTCATTGATATTTATATCATGTGAAATAAGAAATTCAGCTATTTCTTTACTATTATTTCCTGTTGCAATATGAAGAGCGGTTTTTCCATCTTCATCTCTTTTATTGATATTTATACCATGTGAAATAAGAAGTTCGGCTATTTCTTTACTATTTTCACTTACTGCAATATGAAGAGTGGTTTTTCCATCACTATCTTTTTCATTGATATTTATACCATGTGAAATAAGAAGTTCAGCTGCTTCTTTACTTTCATATAATGCTGCAAAATGAAGAGCGGTATTTCCATTATAATCTTTTCATTGATATTTGCACCATGTGAAATAAGAAGTTCGGCTGTTTCTTTACTTTTCACTTACTGCAATATGAAGAGCGGTTCTTCCATCACTATCTTTTTCATTGATTTATACCATGTGAAATAAGAACTTCAGCTATTCTTTACTATTATATATTGCTGCAAAATGAAGAGCGGTTTTTCCATCATAATCTTTTTTATTGATATTTATACCATGTGAAATAAGAAGTCGGCTGTTTCTTTGCTATTATTTTCTGCTCTGAATTATGAAGAGAGGTTTGTCCATCTTCATCTCTTTTATTGATATTTATACCATGTGAAATAAGAAGTTCGGCTATTTCTTTACTATTTTCATTTACTGCAATATGAAGAGCGGTTTTTCCCATCATTATCTTTTTCATTGATATTATACATGTGAAATAAGAAGTTCAGCTGCTTCTTTACTTTCATATAATAGCTGCAAAATGAGCAGGTATTTCCATTATAATCTTTTTCATTGATATTTGCACCATGTGAATAAGAACGTTCGGCTGTTTCTTTACTATTTTACTTACTGCAATATGAAGAGCGGTTCTTCCATCACTATCTTTTTCATTGATATTTACCATGTGAAATAAGAACTTCAGCTATTCCTTTACTATTATCTATTGCTGCAAAATGAAGAGCGGTTTTTTCCATCATAATCTTTTTCATTGATATTTCACCATGTGAAATAAGAAGTTCGGCTGTTTCTTTGCTATTATTTTCTGCTGAATTATGAAGAGCGGTTTGTCCAAAATTATCTTTTTCATTGATATTTATATCATGTGAAATAAGAAATTCAGCTATTTCTTTACTATTATTTCCTGTTGCAATATGAAGACGGTTTTTCCCAACTTCATCTTTTTCATTGATATTTATACCATGTGAAATAAAAGTTCAGCCATTTCTTTACTATTATTTCCTGTTGCAATATGAAGAGCGGTTCTCCATATTTACCTTTTTCATTGATATTTATACCATGTGAAATAAGAAGTTCAGCTGCTTCTTTACTTTCATATAATGCTGCAAAATGAAGAGCGGTATTTCCATTATAATCTTTTCATTGATATTTGCCATGTGAAATAAGAAGTTCGGCTGTTTCTTTACTATTTTCACTTACTGCAATATGAAGAGCGGTTCTTCCATCATACTCTTTTTCATTGATATTTATACCATGTGAAATAAGAACTTCAGCTATTCCTTTACTATTATATATTGCTGCAAAATGAAGAGCGGTTTTCCATCATAATCTTTTTCATTGATATATTTGCACCATGTGAAATAAGAAGTTCGGCTGTTTCTTTACTATTTTCACTTACTGCAATATGAAGAGTGTTTTTCCATCACTATCTTTTTCATTGATATTTTATACCATGTGAAATAAGAACTTCAGCTATTCCTTTACTATTATATATTGCTGCAAATGAAGAGCGGTTTTTCTCATATCTTTTTTATTGAATTTATACCATGTGAAATAAGAAGTTCGGCTGTTTCTTTGCTATTATTTTCTGCTGAATTATGAAGAGAGGTTTGTCCATCTTCATCTCTTTTATTGTATTTTATACCATGTGAAATAAGAAGTTCGGTCTTTACTATTTTATACGCAATTTCTTTCACTATCTTTTTTCATTGATATTATACCATGTGAAATAAGAACTTCAGCTATTCCTTTACTATTATATATTGCTGCAAAATGAAGAGCGGTTTTTCCATCATAATCTTTTTCATGATATTTGCACCATGTGAAATAAGAAGTTCGGCTGTTTCTTTACTATTTTCACTTACTGCAATGATGAGAGCGGTTCTTCCATCACTATCTTTTTCATTGATATTTGCACCATGTGAAATAAGAAGTTCGGCTATTTCTTTACTATTTTCACTTACTGCAATATGAAGAGTGGTTTTTCCATCACTATCTTTTTCATTGATATTTATACCATGTGAAATAAGAACTTCAGCTATTCCTTTACTATTATATATTGCTGCAAAATGAAGAGCGGTTTTTTCCATCATAATCTTTTTTATTGATATTTATACCATGTGAAATAAGAAGTTCGGCTGTTTCTTTGCTATTATTTTCTGCTGAATTATGAAGAGAGGTTTGTCCATCTTCATCTCTTTTATTGATATTTATACCATGTGAAATAAGAAGTTCGGCTATTTCTTTACTATTTTCACTTACTGCAATATGAAGAGTGGTTTTTCCATCACTATCTTTTTCATTGATATTTATACCATGTGAAATAAGAACTTCAGCTATTCCTTTACTATTATATATTGCTGCAAAATGAAGAGCGGTTTTTCCATCATAATCTTTTTCATTGATATTTGCACCATGTGAAATAAGAAGTTCGGCTGTTTCTTTGCTATTATTTTCTGCTGAATTATGAAGAGCGGTTTGTCCAAAATTATCTTTTTCATTGATATTTATATCATGTGAAATAAGAAATTCAGCTATTTCTTTACTATTATTTCCTGTTGCAATATGAAGAGCGGTTTTTCCAACTTCATCTTTTTCATTGATATTTATACCATGTGAAATAAGAAGTTCAGCCATTTCTTTACTATTATTTCCTGTTGCAATATGAAGAGTGGTTTCTCCATATTTACCTTTTTCATTGATATTTATACCATGTGAAATAAGAAGTTCGGCTGTTTTATTACTATTTTCACTTACTGCAATATGAAGAGCGGTTCTTCCATCACTATCTTTTTCATTGATATTTATACCATGTGAAATAAGAACTTCAGCTATTCCTTTACTATTATATATTGCTGCAAAATGAAGAGCGGTTTTTCCATCATAATCTTTTTCATTGATATTTGCACCATGTGAAATAAGAAGTTCGGCTGTTTCTTTACTATTTTCACTTACTGCAATATGAAGAGTGGTTTTTCCATCACTATCTTTTTCATTGATATTTATACCATGTGAAATAAGAACTTCAGCTATTCCTTTACTATTATATATTGCTGCAAAATGAAGAGCGGTTTTTCCATCATAATCTTTTTCATTGATATTTGCACCATGTGAAATAAGAAATTCGGATGTTTCTTTACAATTATTCAATGCTGCAAAATGAAGTGCAGTTTTTCCATCACTATCTTTTTCATTGATATTTGCACCATTTGATATGAAATATTCACAAATAGATGGAATATTAAACATCACTGAGATATTAAAACATTCGTTAACATCATTAGTTTGATCAAAATAAACTAAAAAAGATTCAAGATTATTATGCAATCCGCAATCATACAAATCAATCTTTATATTGTATTCATTCATCAAGAATGTAACAAAATCAATGTTGTGTGAAATAATTGCATATTCCATGCATCCTTCTTCTGGTGTTTGATATTTCAAACATTCACTCATGATCTCTGCATTTCCTCCTAAAAATGAAAATTGTAAACATGTTTGAGTTATTTCTGAGCTGAATTTCGTTCTTAATAACTTGAAACAATCAACTGCTCCATGGTAACAACATAATTCAAGAAATGAATATCCTTCCATAGAAAATGGATATAAATTGCTTTTAAGTATTTGATCGTTATCAAATCCTTCTATTTCCGTGAATACTATGAATCTTTCTAAGTCATTATACATAATTGCTTTGTAAATTGTGTCTGCCGTATAAATTTCCAGATTTTCTGATTTAATTTCTTCAAAATCATAGGATTTGTCTAATTTAATACCATATTCTTTATAAAACAGGAAGTTTGGAATAAGTTTAACATTGTTGACCTCTTCCACATGATAATCATCAGATCTGAATTTGGCAAGTGATAAATATGACTTTGTATAGCGATTATTATACGGAATTATATCTAAAATATCTCCCATAATCTTTTTTGGTGAGCATTTCTTTGAATCAATCAATTCTGTTTTGATCATTTTGTAAATTTCTTTTAATTCTTCTTCTTTGTCCGTTTTCAGCTGATACAACGCAATATATGAATCAATGTAGTATTTATAGACACTTCACAGTTCGCTGAATTTATTTGGATGAATGTCTTCGTTGGACATCAATAATTTTTTTAAAAGGACACATTTGCCTTTTAATATATAAATATCTTTTAAACTCATTAGAAGAAACAAATATTATGTTAGATATGTGAAAAACAATGGCCTCAAAGATTTCGGATTTAATTTATGAATTTTAATTAAGTTCATAGATATGAAATGACACCACAACAATAGAAAAGTCGAAAGCAATAAGATTTTCAGCCAGATGATTATATTTGAACTCAAACGTATCAAATTACTTCTTGCCCAATTGAATTGAATGAAGTTTGGTGATCTGTAGTGTGAAGACATAAACTCACAACAACACTTATGGCAAAAAAATCAAATTTGATATTATATATTTTCGGTCCAGCGTACCCATCTTCGGCAAATTAAACATGTGTTGGCTATATGATATGAGTTCATTCAAGCTCTTTGAGGTTTTTGGAGGGGTTCTATCTTAAATTGTTCGGAAAAGCATATACAATGTATCCTGATTCCCATTGTATTATAATAACCAAACAATAAGTTTTCTGTGATTTTTGATGATATTTAAATAATAAATGATTTGAAAAATTGAATTTTTCGCTATTTGGTTGGCGCATTGTGTCAACCAAATAGTGAATAATAATATGTGTTTACTTAAAATTTGATTTAAATTTCTGAACGACATGACTGTCATATAGAATTTCGTATTGGCAATGGTTCAAAAGCCAGCCGCCCTATTTTTTTAATATAATAATAAAGACTCTTATTTATCTGACTATATTTCACACATTTTGTAATCTCTGAAGATCATATAATGCTATCATATAAGAAATGTCCCATGAAACTGACTGCATAAGGGGCTTAGTACCTTAGGATCGAGAGAATGTCAGAAAGTGGTAAGTGCACACTTAAGCAATTAAAAATATTTTGTATTATATATAAAAATATTTACTTTATAATCTTTGAGACATATCTGGATCTGGGAGATCTGGGATTGATTTAGCATATTTGAGAGCTCTTTCTCTTTCATTTTCTTCTGCCTTCTTTCTCAATATATCGCATTTCTTGATGATCTTCTTTATGCGTTCGATATATTTATTGTAGTAGTCGATTCTCTTGTAGTCATTTTGAGCTTCTTGTTTGGAAAGCTCGTACAACTCTAGAGCTCTATTCAACTGCGAAACCCACATGTCAACCATAGAAACTCTGAGTTTGGATCTCTCTGTCACATGTGAAGAAGAATTAGTTTCAACACTCTTGAACAAAGAGTTTGCGAGGAAATCTCTGAACATGATTCTGTCTGGTTCCAATTGAATCATGTACTCAGCCATTTCAAGGCATCTGTCGTATTTCTGAGATGCTTTGTACGCTTGAAATGCTCCTGCGAACAAACCAGTATTTGTTCTTTCGTAGTGTTCTTTGTTGCAAGCTTCGAATTCCTTTGCAGCCTGATCAGGATCTCTTCCGTTGTTATCCATTGATCCAATACCTCCTCCTGTGAGGTAAGCGTTCGCAAGACATTCAGCCGGACCTGGCAATCTCTCCATGTTCTCTTTAACGAGTCTCAAGTATTGGATTGTGTCTTTCGCTGCTCCTCTCAACAACCAACACAAAGCGAGTCCAGAAGCAGCAGAAATGCAGTATTTATTGCCTCTCAAAGCTGCGTGGTAAAATGATGTTGCTTTATCTAAGTTGTGGAGTCTTTCTGACTGTTGGAGATTTGGCTTCTGCGAATCGATTAAATAAGCATTTGCCAAGTAAACATTTGCCGTCAAATATCCGTCAGAAAAGTTGGAAGAAGAAGAGTTAGGAACAATGTTTGTTGTGAGTTTTCTGACTTCATCTGCGTATTGCATTGAAACTCTTGGCTTCGAATGCAAGTATAAGTCCGCGAGATAAAGCATTGCTCTGATCTTCTGTTCAGGGCATTCTTCATCGACAGTCTTGAAGTATTGTTCGGCTGTCAAATAATCTTTTTCTGCGACAGAAATGACACCGAGTCTGAGGTATGGTTCTGGGAATCTTGGGAAGTCTTCTGTCAATTTCGTGTAGTATTCCTTTGCATCTTTAAGACGACCGAGTGTTTCCATGCATCTGCCAATGTTGAATCTAACAATTGCATTCGATTTGTTGGAAACAGATTCGAAGGTCTTCAATGCTTCTGGATACTTCTCAAGCTCGAACTGTGAGATGCCAAGGAAGGTGAGCGTCTGATCATCTGGCTTCATGTTGTTTTGTTCGAGTAATGCAACAGAAGATTTGAGATTTGAATACGCGGAATCGTATTCAAGAGTTTTGAGACACAACCAGCCGAGTGTTGAGTGTACTTTGTAGAGATCTTTGAAGGTCTTGCCTTGGGAGAGTCTGATGGCTTCGGAAAGTTGGGCTTTGGCCTGGTTTGCCGTGTCTGTCTTGTTATCGTTTTTATATGCTTGGGCGAGAGCCATGCCAAGGACGAAATGGGGCTCGAACTGGGTTGTATAGCTTGCAATAACTGGCTTTAGGTAGTCAATGGCCACCTTGTACTTGCCAATGGCTACAGAAAGATGAGAGATTGCAAATTGAGCTTGGAGATGGTCCTTGTAGACGTTAAGGACTTCCTGGTAGTAATCGATTAATTCCTCTGGTGTCTTCTTGCCAGTATAATGCCAGTATCTGGCTAATTGGAATAACGCTTCTGCTTTGAATTCGACTTGGCGCTTAGGAATGTCTTCGTAGAGAGCACCAGCGAGTTTGACGAACTTTTTGTCCTTCTTCTTTTCTTGTAATTTGATGTTTTCGAAACGAAGTTGTAATTCTAAGATTCTTAATGCAATTGATTTGCTGTTGACCTTCTTGGCAGCTTCGTAGTACTGAACAAGACTGGCCTTATCGAGTAAAATAAGTCTGATAAGAACTGTAAGGTTTGTTGGATCAATTTCGAGACATCTCTTGTATGCAAGAATAGCATCGTCACGCTTATCGAGCTTTTCTAAGCACATGCCAATTGCAAGACGAATTAATGGGAAAGCAGGAATGGAAGTGTTGAATAATTTCTTAAATTCTTGAAATGCGCCTTGATATTCGCCCATTGCGAACTGTAATAAGCCATTTGCCAAACTAAGGAATGGAACAAGGTTAAAAATCTTTGTAATATCGTTAATAGCTTGGTCTTCATTTGACTTCTTATCACTGCCCTGTTGGCGCTTTGATTGTTCAAAAAGAGAGAGACCTGTATCGTAGTAATCATTAGCAGTCTTAAGGTTTCCACGGTATAATTCGAAGAAACATCTTGCAAGCCAAATGAAGAAATATCTGTAATCAAGGGCCCATGCTTGTCTGATAGTTTCTTCAACACGATTTTCATCTGCTTCTGAGTCATTTGGCGACCTTAAACAGTTTTGTAAGTAGTAAAGTGATAAATGTACGCGTGGAATGTAGATATTTTTGATCTTTTCCTGAGAGAAATGAGTCAGGAAATCAACAAATTCCTTATGGAAGCCATTGTGCTGTAAAGCTGTTGCAACCATTTCAATTGTAACAGTATCTTGGCAACCAGAGCTTTTCATGCTTGATACAACTTCATTAACAACATCAGGTGTTGTTAAATACTCTATCATTTGATCAAGAGTGAAAGTACGATCACTTTCATTTGGAAGACTCCTCCTGAGCAAATCGTCACTCATTTTTTTTTTTGGGGGGGGGTCTAAAAAAATAACAAAAATAAACAAATAGATATATTACGCAAAAAACCATATATACTATTTTTGATTATCACATATCTCATCATATATGTCTCATGCTTAAGCTTAAGTTGATTTATTCTATCTATATGAGGCTTTTATCAGACTAGAAACAGTGAAGGTACATGTAGATGAGAAATCCTTTATAAAGGTGAAGTACTCGAATTAATAGTAATTATAAGCGGCCAATCTCTTTAATATTTTATCAAACAAGCCTTCAATGGGATATTGCAGCAAAACATAGCCATCTATACTTTCCCAACGCATTTTGATTGGGATAGACTCTATTTGGGCATTATATTTTGTAATATTCAGTATATGCCGTTATAAGCTATTCACACTAATGTGATAGCTTCTAAATCGAATGAAATCATAATTTACTTATACAGAAACATACATTTGAAAACTAAATTTCAAATCAAAAGTTTATGGTCAAAATTTTTGCTCGAAAGTAAGATATGAAAATCAAGTTCAAGTGATAAATAATCAGCTTAAATATAAACCAAATAGGCTAATACATTTCGATAATATAAAAATTAAACAGTTTAAATCTTCAACATTGGTTTAATTTCTTTGTATGTTTCGCCATGTTGATTCTTTGCTTCTTTATCAGCTCCAACAAAAATAAGAGATTCAATAACATCTTGATTATTAGATTTAGTTGATGCAGCAAGGAGGGGAGTATATTGAAATTCATCGTTAGCTTCTAAATTTGCACCAACATAAACAAGATAATTAACAATTTCAAGATGACCACTACGGGCGGCGATAATGAGTGGAGTTCTTTCATGACTATCGAGTGATTCTTTATCACAGCCACATTCAATGAGAGATTTAACGAGTCTAAGATTCCCTCTTTCACATGCTTCGTGAAGTACATTCCCTCGAATGAATGGTAACCCAGACCTATTTAATTTTTTCCAAAGTCCTTCTTCGCATGCTCGTAACATTACTTTTTGATATCCTTGGGATGATAATAAATCAAGGTAATTGTAGATATCTTCAAAATCATTTGAATCCTTGAGGTTTTGGATAATACTTTCTTGTTCCACCGCCTTAACATATGGCAGTTTTTCTTCCTCTGTCATATTCGACCACATCTCGCCTAATTTTTTAGCTATTTCACCATATGTTATACCTGGATATTGCTCTTTAATTTGGGGACGCACTTCCTTGCAGAAGACTATAAAAGGACTTATCAAACGCGATATAGAAATTTTGATTAAAAAATAAATGCAAACAAATTGATATTGCCATGTATCATTTTCTTAGACAAAAACCATTGAAATAGTATTTTTATTTATCGTATATATAAATGAGAAATCGTTAATTTTCATTTTGATGGATTTCGAAATATACTTAAATACAACTGTTATTTAATAACAGTTACTTATTGCTTTTATCGTTGACATTCATTCTGAAAACATTTTTTAATGCATGCTCAATATTTTCAAAAATATGAAAAGTTGATAGAAACATACGAGAAGCTCTTTCATTTAAATTCTAATGAATGCATTGATACGGCTTCAAAGATGATTACAGATGTTTTAATTTCAAAGTATCAGATAAAATTACAAGATCTCATAATGAGTCTGATGGTCGCTGCTAAATATAATTATAGATCTGTTTATATTTACGCCAAATTGCTCAACCAACTCTTCATTAATAACTCAATTAAGAGATTAATGTTTGAGAATATATTCAACTACGCAACCCTTTTGGATCTGACTATCTTTACTGACGTTAATGGTATTTTCCAGATTGAAATCCACAATGATTTACTTCCAAAAGAGAATGAAATTCAATATTTTATAATGTTCGACCAAATTGACAAATTCAGAGATTATGTTGCTAATAATTCAATAGAAAATATAATTGTATATATTCCTTCTTATGGTGAGCTTTCCATCCTTGAAGCTTGTGCTTATTTTGGCTCTGCCCATATTTTCAATTTCCTCGTTTCAAATTTCGATCATGAAATATCAGATAATTGCTTGAAATATTCTTTCATAGGTGGAAATACTGATATTATTAATTTATGCTTAAAAGAAAGCAAAATTGATTGCGAATGTTTTAACTACATTGTTTCATCGCATAACAACAAATTCCTCGAATATATTTTTCAAAGAGATCTTTATAAGCACGATGACTATGATTTTGATGAATTTATCTTTTCATATAACTTGAAATTTTTTTTCTTATGTTCGAGAAAGATAAGAATTCTATTATTCCATGGTTTGCAGGATTCTCACAGTCTCTTGAACTTCTTCAAAACGAAAAATTTGATTTTTCACGAACTAATCCATTTGATATGAATGTACTTCATTATGTTGTTGCTCACAACAATCATGATGTCTGCAAATTCTTGTTAGAGAATTCAAATATTAAAACTGATGCTGTAGATTATGAAGGGCAAACAGCTCTAATGATTGCGGCAAAACAAAATAGCACTGAAATAATTGAACTTCTTATTTCTCATGGTGCCGATATCAATAAAAAAGAAGATTATTATTCAAAAACTGCATTTCATATTGCAGTAGAATGTGGTAACAAAGAAGCAGCAGAAATTCTGATTTTGAATGGAGCAGATATCAATGAACCTAACGAGTTTGGTCAAACATTTCTTCATTTAACTGCAAAAACTAAATATAAAAAATTATTTGAAATACTTATTTCAAATGGTGCTAATATCAATTCAAAAGATTCTCTAGGAAAAACACCACTTCATTATGCAGTAATCGATAACAGTGTTGAAATTGTGGAACGCCTAATTTCTCTTGGTTCAGATATTAACGTTAAAGATAAATCTCAGAGAAGAACTCCTCTTTATTATGCAGTGGAAGGTAATAATTATGTTGTTGCAAAAATCCTTCTCTCACATGGTGTAAGAATCAATTCAAAAAATAGTTTTAATAATGATACTGCACTGCATTGCGCAGCAATGAATGGCAGCTGTGAAATTATAGAATTATTGATTTCACATGGAGCCAATATTGACTCAAAAGATGATGATGGAAATACAGCTCTTATAATATCATCTCAACATCAAAGAAATAAAGTGGTAGAAATTCTGATTTCCCATGGTGCTGATGTTAACACATCAAATAATAATAGAAATTCTGCTGTTCTTTATTCAGTTAAAAATGATGATAAAGAACTAGTAGAATTTCTAATTTTGCATTGAGCGAATATAAATAATAAAGATTCTGTGCATAAAACACGACTTCATTATGCTGTTAAAAGAAAAAATAGAGAATTAGTCGAACTTCTTCTTCTCCATGGTGCAAAAATTAATAAAAAAGATCAAAATTTCAGAACTCCACTTCATTATGCAGCCAAATCGTGTGATAAAGAGATGGTAGGACTACTCATCAATCATGGATCAAAAGTAAATGAAATAGATATTTATGGCAAAATCGCTCTTCATTATGCTGCTGAATGCAATGATGAAAAAGTAGTTCAACTACTAATCTCTCACGGTTCCAATATCAACGCGGTAGATAATGAAAAGAATACTGCTCTTCATTACGCTTGTCATGGGCAAGATTCTGTAATGGCAGAGCTTCTTATTTCACATGGTATAAATCTTAATGTAAGAAATAAATATGGATTAATTGCCCTTCATATAGCAATGGATCTGTTCAATCATGAATTAATAAAGATTCTCATTTCGAATGGAGCCAATGTTAACAAAAAAGATCCTGATTTAAAAACACCCCTCCATTATATTCAATCTGAAGATATTATGAGCCTCCTTATTTCAAAAGGTGGAGATATAAATGCAAAAGACAAATACAATAAAACGCCTCTCCATTATGCTGTATACAATAATCAAAAAGATATTGTAGAATTATTTGTTTCACACGGTTCTGATCTCAATGCAAAAGATAATGATCTGCGTACAGCATTACATATTGCTGCAATGAACAATAATATAGAAATTATAAATCTTCTGATTTTCCATGGTGCTGATGTTAAATCTAAAGATAGGTTTGATAAAACATATCTTAATTATGGACTTTTTGAAGAAGAAGAAGAAGAAAAAGATGATAATACAAATTATGATTCGTCTTCATCATCTTATTAAAATTTACGGTTTCTTATCTTGTTGGATAAATATTACATGTGATACAATTTTTATTTAACAATTTTGTAGTTCAGCAGTTTATTGATATACCCAGATTTTCCTTACTTTTACCACTCCCCATGTAATTTCTGGGGAAAACGATAATTCATTTTTTTTATGGATGAATAGATCGTTTTCCTAGAAAGGACCTCATATCTCTGGCTAAAAAGAGTGTCAGATCCTAAATCGATTATTGATCTAGTGTACAAATCCAATAAAAAGCCTATTTTTTTGGCTTTTTTGGTGGTCATTTTTTCGAAGATCTACATGAATATGGGGAAACCATCGGATTTTTTTGGTTAACCCACATCTTCATGTAGTCTGGACTATCTTTCCTCGAAGGACCTCTTTACGGGTGTAAAAACTCATAAAGTTCTCAAAAGATTCATTCTCGATCTCCATGCTGAAAGAATTTACAATAAAAAAGAGATCTACGCATCAAACTACAGCCATAAATGAACTGAACCCCTAAAGCTCAGCTCTTAGTTTATCAAAAACGTCGAAATCCTTCTCATTGCAATCAAATTTTCTCAATAACTCATAAGAAAAATCGAATTTTGATTAAGCCGATGTTATAGGTATCACAAATACTACAAACTTGAGCAATATCGAAATTGCCAGCAAAAGTTTGAAATTGCATTGCTCATATTTGTTTTGTAAACTAAAAATCTGCTTATATTATTCATTAATTTTTTATATATTATTCATATACTTTAATAAAAACAATACTATTTCACCTTAAAAATGAATTTCATAAGTCAATATTATTTTTTTGAAAATGTATCAATTTTCGATTAAAACAACATGAGAATAAAATTTACGCAAAATTATTTTAAAAAATGGTTTTAAAAATTTACAATTGATTAAGAATAAGATTGCAAGAAGTTTTGAAGTTTAATTTTAAGAAAAAAAATTCGGATATTATTCATGGATCTAAGTAATTTGATATTTGAGTATCGGCACTATGCATAAAACATATATTTATAGTTTTTTTGGATTTTTATGATTTTAAATATATTCAAATTTGGCAATCCAATAGATTTTTAAAAAATAGGTAAATAAAAATAGATTACATATGCAGCAGATTTAGAACATGAAACAAATCTTATAGTGACCCAAAAAAAATTCATGATCCAAAAAAGAAAAAATTAGCTAAATGGGAATAAAACCTTGGCATAATGAATCATTATGTCAGATGTTTGCACTACACTACACCGGCAGTTCGAAAAATACCCTTGGTGGTTCTATTTAATAGCTACTCCCAACGATAGGCGGTGTCCCCAGCTTTAGAGAGGTGGTAAAAGTAAGGAAAATCTGGGTATTCAAGAAAATCATCCAAATAAACATTTCAATTATCAAGTTTTTTAAAATTTATTCAACACGATTCCATGAATATCAATTTCATGATAGAAAGTAAGTATCAGAATTCTGACAAATTTCTCAAAATTCTCTGATATTTCAAATTTATATCTGATTTGATGTATTTGAATTAATGAATAATAAATGAATAAACGAGAGAAGCATCATAAGCTTTTCACTCACATAAATATGATTATTACCTAGAATATGAATCAAATGTCACAGATTTTGTGAAATATGACTTTTAGATGGGGAAACTTTCTTATTTAAAGTAAACTAGTCCTAAATATGCGTAATTCTCAGTATGAATATGTTCTCAATTCAGTAGTAGTATAGGAAGGGGTGTGTGACTTTTTTTGTTACATCTATATATAGACGATGCATTAAAATATATTTATTTATAAACACATTAAAAAATTAACATTAATTTTAAAATAATTTATTTTTTATCTTTTATAAAAGAAGCTATATATAGATGATGTCAGATATTCCGCGATTAATTAAACATTGTTTAAATCCTGAATGGGTTAAACTTCAATTTAAAAATGAAGATTGTGAATTATTAAATGAATATGAAAGCCAAAATAAGCTAATGAGGTATAAATATAATGATAAAGAATATTTAATTTCATGGAATCAATGGAGTCATAATCAAAGACCTCATAAACGAGAAGAAGAAATTGAAAATAATGAAATGGAAATCATTGATGACATTAAAGAGGATGGAATTCCTAAATTTTGTAGAAAAACCTTTAGAACTAAGTTAGGAGCATATAAACGTAGATTATTAAATCCTGAATACATAAAACATTTATTTAAAAGGAAGATTGTGAATTATTAAACGCTAATGAATATGAAAATGCTAAATCAAAATTGAAATATAAATATATTGGAAGTGATGAAAGGTGTAAAGATAAAGATAAAGTTTATTCAGTTTCATATAATAACTGGCACACGTTAGGGATAAGAAAACATTTAGGAGATTATGGTAAAAGTTCTGAATTCTTCAAATCTAGTATGTACGAGAGAGTAAAAGAAATTAGAAATAATTATTTTCATGAATGAAAGATTCACTACCATAATGAAATAAAAAATAAAAAAAAAATAAACTTTAAAAATTCATGTCTCAGAATCAACATTGAACTTTAAGAAACTAATGAAACAGAGGAGGAAGAAATAAATGAAAGTGAAAATGTTCAACAAAAAATAAACGTTGTTAAACCAATAATTAATATCCCTATCAAGTTTCGTAAATGCTTTGTCAATACTTCATCGTAAATGTTTTGTCATGATTTCATTGTAATGAGCGTAAACTCTATGTCAAACATGAACGTAAATGCTTTGTCAAAACTAAACGTAAAGACTTTGTCATGATTTCATCGTAAATGCTTTGTCAATACTTCATCGTAAATGTTTTGTCATGATTTCTTCATCGAAACTAAACATAAACACTTTGTCAAAACTTCATCGTATATGCTTTGTCATGATGATTTCATCGTAAAGACTTTGTCATGATTTCATCGTAAATGCTTTGTCAATACTTCATCGTAAATGTTTTGTCATGATTTCTTCATCGTAAACTCTATGTCAAACATGAACGTAAATGTTTTGTCATGACTTCATCGTAATGAGTGTAAATGACCCAAAAATAATGTTTACGTTAATGGTTTTTAGGTTATTCAATAATTAATTATTTTTGAAGAACTGAAGGTGTCACTACGTCACCATGTGTCACTCGGTTAATTAACTTCTCTGAAAAAGTGAGACAACATGACATTTAGACAACAACACAGGAGGAAGGCAGTTATGAATTATTTTTGAAGAACTGAAGGTGTCACCAGGTCACCAGGTCACCAGGTTAATGAACTTCTCTGAAAAAATGAGACAACATGACATTTAGACAACAACACAGGAAATAAATGTTTATGTTTACGTTAATGGTTTCATCGTAATGAGTGTAAATCAGACAAAAATAATGTTTAGGTGAAGAGGTGAGATTTCACCTAATTTTTCACCTCTTTTCTCACCTCATGAATTTTCATGATTTCTTCATCGTATATGCTTTGTCAAACATGAACGTAAATGATTTGTCAAACATGAACGTATATGTTTTGTCATGATGATTTCATCGTAATGAGTGTAAATGACCCAAAAATAATGTTTACGTTAATGTTTTTTAGGTTATTCAATAATTAATTATTTTTGAAGAACTGAAGGTGTCACTACGTCACCATGTGTCACCAGGTTAATTAACTTCTCTGAAAAAGTGAGACAACATGACATTTAGACAACAACACAGGAAATATATTTTATCGTAAATGTTTTGTCATGACTTCATCGTATATCCTTTGTCAAAACTTCATCGAAACTAAACATAAACTCTATGTCAGACATGAGCGTAAATGTTTTGTCATGACTTCTTCATCGTTTATGTTTTGTCATGATGATTTCATCGTAATGAGCGTAAATGATCCAAAAATAATGTTTAGGGTAGATGGTTAGATCTCACCTCTTTTCTAACATGGAGGATTTCATTAGATATAAACATTCTTCCTTCATTTCATTCTATACACAATTTACATCATAGACGATTTAATAGATATAATACTTTACTGTTTCATCTGATCTAACCATCTACCCTAAACATTATTTTTGGATCATTTACGCTCATTACGATGAAATCATCATGACAAAACATAAACGATGAAGAAGTCATGACAAAACATTTACGCTCATGTCTGACATAGAGTTTATGTTTAGTTTCGATGAAGTTTTGACAAAGGATATACGATGAAGTCATGACAAAACATTTACGATAAAATATATTTCCTGTGTTGTTGTCTAAATGTCATGTTGTCTCACTTTTTCAGAGAAGTTAATTAACCTGGTGACACATGGTGACGTAGTGACACCTTCAGTTCTTCAAAAATAATTAATTATTGAATAACCTAAAAAACATTAACGTAAACATTATTTTTGGGTCATTTACACTCATTACGATGAAATCATCATGACAAAACATATACGTTCATGTTTGACAAATCATTTACGTTCATGTTTGACAAAGCATATACGATGAAGAAATCATGAAAATTCATGAGGTGAGAAAAGAGGTGAAAAATTAGGTGAAATCTCACCTCTTCACCTAAACATTATTTTTGTCTGATTTACACTCATTACGATGAAACCATTAACGTAAACATAAACATTTATTTCCTGTGTTGTTGTCTAAATGTCATGTTGTCTCACTTTTTCAGAGAAGTTAATTAACCGAGTGACACATGGTGACGTAGTGACACCTTCAGTTCTTCAAAAATAATTAATTATTGAATAACCTAAAAACCATTAACGTAAACATTATTTTTGGGTCATTTACACTCATTACGATGAAGTCATGACAAATCATTTCCGGGACTGTTGTCAAAATGTCATGTTGTCTCATTTTTTCAGAGAAGTTAATTAACCGAGTGACACATGGTGACGTAGTGACACCTTCAGTTCTTCAAAAATAATTAATTATTGAATAACCTAAAAACCATTAACGTAAACATTATTTTTGGGTTATTTACACTCATTACGATGAAGAAGTCATGACAAAACAT